TCTATTCTGAACAATTTGCAATAGGGTTCCTCATTCTTAGGAACCCGGGGCGGGTTCCCGTTCCTAGGAACCCGGAACCCGATGCGGGTTCCCGTTCCTGGGAACCCGGGAACCCGGAGAGACTTGTCTCAAAACGAAAGAAAAAGTATGTCTATGAACTCTAGTGTATTCAAAAATGCACAGGAATGAATTTTCAACTGGGTTCCCGTTCCTAGGAACCCGGAACCCGGTACGAGTTCCCGTTCCCAGGAACCCGGGAACCCTGAGTGACTTGCTCAAAACGAAAGAAAAAGTATGTCTATGAACTCAAACGCGTTCAAACATGCATAGAAATGAATAACCAAGTGGGTTCCCGTTCCTTGGGAACGGAACCCTTGAGGAACGGGAACCCTGACACCCCTATCATAGAATACATGATTGCTGATGCTGAAAAATATAGAAAAGAAGATGAAATACAACATGAATGTATATTAGCGAAAAATTCACTAGAATCATATTGTTTTAATATGAAAGCAACAATTAGTGATAAAAAATTAACAGATAAAATGGAGGTGCATGACAAGAAGAAAATGATCGATACCATTGAAGACACAATAAAATGGTTGGAAATAAATCAAGTAAAACAAATACTATTTTTATCTTTTTTTTTATTATTATTTGTTCTATTTTTAGTTTGCGATAAAAGAAGAATTTGAATATAAATTAAAAGAAGTTGAAAAACTCTGTTCATCAATAATGAGAAAACTTTAGCAACGTGAAGAGTATGTTAGAAGAATGTCAGAAAGATTTCTTAGTGGCCCAACATATAAGTAACGGATTCTTCGCACTCTTGCCAATTGTGGATAATTTTTTTCATGCTAAATAATCAAGAAAAATAAGCATATTTTTGTTATATATAACATTTTCTATTGTTTAACATAAAATATACTTCGGAACCGTTTTTTCTTTGAATCAGAATTTACATTAAGTTTTTGATCCTTGACTTCTTTCAGTGTAGCGAATATGATACGGTGTCTTTACTTTACCTCGATAGTTTTTCATTTCACGTTCTCTCTAGCATCAATGATTTTCATTTGACTTATTTATTATGAGAAATTAATAACAATGGCATCTTTCATTTCTTCACGAAGTCAAACTCAAGGATGAGGATAATTTTTAGTAGAAATTACCACAATGTTTCGACTGTCACACAGAGTGAGGGTGTGGGGTATGAGTGTGAGGTGTGAGGTGTGGGTGTGGATATCATTGTTTTCTGTTCACCTAAATTCAAACCCACATCCACACCCACACCCACACCCACATCTCATACGTGTTCGAGTGTTCGGAAATGAATTTTTTTCCTCAAAGATTTATGACCGGAGTTCGTAAACATTTGTGTACAGAAGATCGTAATAGAAAAACAAGGAAATCGGAATGGTTTGATCAGATGTTCGAAATTTATGTCTAAGAGTACTTTTTACAGAAAAAAAACTGGAATAATGAAATGACATTGATAGAGAGTTTGTAAAAGAATTTACTTGGAGATCGTAATGATATAAAGACTTTGCTTTCTGTTTTTATAGACAAGAATGACTGTAAGACAAGCGTGTCACTTCATATTCGCTCAAAGGTGAGTAAATATCAACATAGTTACAAACATCCTGCCCTTTTCATTTCGAATACTCTGTAGTTTTCATTATGAC